AGGGGTTGTACACGGATAATGGAAAGAAAACGGAAACTGCTATAGTATATTAAGGTGATAGGGTTAAGGGAAGATAAAATGGAAGCTACTATAGTATATTAGGATTATAGGGATAATATGAAAGAACATGGAAACTACTATAGTATACCGGGATTATATAGGGATAACGGAAGATAAAATGGAAACTACTATAATGCGTTTTCGGGTTTATGCTAAAGGGTTGAGGGTTCGGGTTTAAGGTTGAGGGTAGGTAACATTTGAGGGACTAGGGGTAGGGTTTAGGGTTTAGGGTTAGGGGTCCAGGGTGCCAAGCATTTGTGTAGAAATTCTTTAGGATATGTGATAGGAATGACGTATGGCTTCGCATGGAACGCCCAAGAAGGCTGTTGTACACTACTGTACTGTCATTAAGGGTTATCTGGGGTCAACATGGACTTGAGGGAGAGTTCAGGGCTTCGCATCTTTGGTCGGAATAGCTTTGTGCACTTGCGAGAAGTGAAATCTTTCGGCGGGGAGGTTTCAAAACGTTCAGGCAATTCCGCGCAGTCACCATGGAATCTGAGCCATGAAGGCTGAGTGGGGACGAGCATGTGCTGTTGGGGAGTTGAGACAAGACCAGGGTCAGTGGTCAGGGTCAGTCAGTCGTGTGTGTGTTTCAGGGTTTGGTTTGGTCTTGGAGGTTAGTTTGGCAGCACCTAAATACATGGAGCTCGCAAGGTTCTATTGCAGGATTGGAGGCCATCAGAATCTCCAACGCATCACCTTCCTCCCTCCTTGGCAATCTTTGGGCTTCAAGTTTTCTTGTGAAGACGCAGCCTAGCCCCAACTTTTGCTAATTTTGCCATTCAGAAGCCTTGCGCAAGTTCAGTGCTGATCCCCATGATCTGAGGCTTGGAGCCCTTGAGCCACCCTTAGAGCCACCCTTACTCGAGGCTCCACCCAAAGAGCTTGAAGCGACAGCAGCGGCGCAGATCCCCAGCAAGGACCCTGTGATAGACGCTTAGAAGTACTTGATGGTGGAACCGCCGTTGGTTTTTGGGTGTTTGGGGATGGAGGATTGTTGGGGCCTGTGGAGTTTCCCCAATATATACCCTATAAAACCATTATAGTAGTCTCCATTTTATTTTCCATTATCCCAATATTACCCCAACATAATTGTCTCTCCTGCGCACAGGAGGATGAGGCCCCGCCGGCAGATGTGAACGAAGCTCCTCCAAAGGCAGCACCGGCGCCCGACGCTGCCGCAGGCCTGAGAGAGGATTGGGGAGGCTTGGGATTCAGGATTTAAAGCTTTACGGCTCAGGCTTAGGTCTATCAGGCTTTCTAGCAAAGCATGGTGCGGCTCGAAGTTTCTGTCCGAAAATAAGGCACATGTAGGAAACTTTGGTAGAGAATATATCCGGGTCCTAGGTGTCTTGAGGATATCACATGGTCATTTTGAACCACTCCCGCCTGGTATTGCTGAGTTTGGCTGGTAGGGTGGGTGCAGGGGTTCCTGAGTTAGGTTTAGGGTTTATGGTGCCATGAAAGAAATGGTCAAGCCATCCGCTACCTTGATATTTTCCGTGTAGCAGTAGAACAGTAGGATTGAGGGCGCGAGATTTTCTTTGCTCCTTACACCGCAGTGTCTCAAAATGATCCCTACGCACTATTTAGGGGAACCATCTAAAAGCTCATAGTTCTTAGTCGCATCTGTGCCTAAAGTCCCCAAGAGTACCCTTATCCTGAGAAACTCCCCACATGAGTAGACCTGATGGTTGGGAACTGGCATTTGGTGCTGCCGACCTGATGAATGAATTCCACAAAGTAGTTTCGATGGTCATCCCAGAAGCCATTTTAGAGGTATCCATTCTCCGAAGCCCTATGAGACTTAAGCCCCGAACCATGTGGGCTGTACACCTGGAGCCTGCAGGAGCACCAGCTGCGCCAGCAGCTGCCAGGGGAGACATAGCTCAAATTTGCTGCCAGTTTACTCTCTCGCCTGAGAACCTCCACTTCCAAGGAGATAGTGGCCTCCACTTGAAAAGAGCTGCTGGCTAAAAATACAGAAGCCTTAAGCCCTGAGCCCTAAACCCTAATCATGGTGATATTCATCCCAAAGGAAGATGAGCTCTATGGGCTTGTAGGCCCAGTCATGAACTACTGGCCCAGTTATGAACCACCGGCTTCTTGGTTGAGTCGCAACACCCCTTTGGCCATGTCACAACTTACTGCAATTAGAGGTGGCTGGGTCCATGAAGGGAAGACTTGGCGCTGGCGATAGAGATCCAGAAACCCACTAAATGGAAGCGACAGCAACATTTCTAGAGCAGGCGTAGAGCTTCTTGTGCTTGGACTTAGAGTAGGCTTGCAAAGCCAGATCACATGCATTATTTGACAATCCACCAACGTGCTCCGTGCTTTTGTCGCGTGATTTTCCTTACGGATGCTTCGCATCAAAACTATCGATCAAACCATCGCACATCTGACCTCAACACCCCAGTGTGAATTCATAAGGGCGCTTGGCCACATGCACGCGCACTTGGGGCTAAGGCAATTTCAGTAGACATCTTCCCTGCAGTATTTTGCTGCTAGGTCTGCGGCTCTTTGCATGGTTTCATGAGCTAGGTCTGTGCGATCACATGGTAGTTGCCCTAAATAGGGGAACCCCAATATAGACCTCCAAATATTATAATCCCTATTACACGGACCCCCCAAAATGATGTCCTGATTTTGGCACCCCCCCCTAGACCCTAAACCCCAACCCTGTTGTCACCATTTACCAGAGCTCAGCGCGGGTTGCGCAAGACATCTCCATTGCTGTTCCCTGTTTGGCTCCCCCTCGTCCAAGCCTATATGGGGGTTATATTGTGGTTATAAAAAGGGGTTATATATCGGGCTTAAATTGGGTATATAGGGATTATATAAGGGTTATACTGGGGTTATCTATACGGGTTATCTTACTGGGGGTTAGTAGAGACAAAGGGAACATAGTCCCTAGATAATCCCTTTTAAATGATATGACATACTCCCTTATTCCCTTCTAGACCCCAACAAGTCTATGCAGTCCAAAAACAGAAAACATACAAGCCATTCTTGCAGTTGCCAGCAGTTTCTGTTCACACCGGCCTACAGGCTTATGCGTTCCTGCATCCTCCCAAACTTGAAAAAGCGCTTCAGCTTCAGAAGAATCGGAAAGGTTCCAAAAGTCAGGTCAATCTTGTGTAAAACTGTAAAAACACACACATTCCAGCGCAGAGCTTGAGGAGACGACCTCTTGGATGAGTTGCAGGCCCTTCGGAGACTTGGCTGGGGTGTGAGCTATTTGACAAGATAGGGCTTGCATCAGGATTTTGTTGTTTCCATGGCCCTCTAATACTACTCAGATAACCCCTATATAATCCCAGTGCCCATTTCATTTTCCATTTTCTTTTCCACTTGATTCTCCATTATATAATGGGTACCATAGTATCCCCAAATAGAATATACAACTGGGGACTTGGGGAGTGGGTACTTCGCACAGGATGAGTAGGTCCCACGAAGATCATAGGCCAAGTGCCATCCCATCTATTGGATCCCTTCACTGCCGTTGTAAAGATTCAAGCTGTATGGGGCTTGCCGTTGGTACTGCCTCACCCAGCGACAGACTATACCAGCGGTAATATTAGGGATAGATATACATATGTATATATATATATATTATGTTTAATTTCATATCATTAGATGTATATATATATATATATCTAGTCACTCATCTGATATTTATTTGCCCAACTGTTATTTCGGGCGGCAGTATCCGAGCTTTAAGAAGCCGCGCACACATAGACGGACTCTGTCCGCTGGAGCGCACAGTCATGGCAAACGAACGAATGACGACCACAAGAGACAACGGTAAGTATGAAGGCCTTACACTGTGTTCGTACCATCCTACTATTGGTCGGTGGCGGGGATAAATTAAGAACCCACTTGCCACCTGCCGACTTGCCTACGACACTGATGCCAAGAATATACCTAAGCCTCAGGTTGTGCCAAAACTTTTTTTAAGCTGGTGTCTGGCTCTACACGCTAACACCCGTGGGGTATAAAGACTTAAGGGTAAGGGTGAAGCAATTAGGGTTTAAGACATCTTTATCTTCTAATCTTCTGCTCATCTGCGCCCCTTCCACGGCGCTCTCAAGTGCTTTCATGACAGGAGGTTCAATGCTCCCCCAGCAACATATGAACTGACCCTCTGTCCTTGAAGGAAGGGTCCCATTCTTCACGGCCCCAAGGCGCCTCTTATCCCAACGCCTCCAGGGATGTCCTTAAAATTAAGCTTAAACTTTTGCTTACTAGAACATCCTATAAACCGCTAAGATTGTTTTCTTAGGAAGGCTCCAAGGCAGATTCAGAGCAACAGCCCAGGAGAGGTGTCCCGGAGAAAGAGAAGAAGTTAGAGGCGGAGCTTGCTGAGCTCTATGCCAAGGCTGGAAGACTTACTGGTGGTTAGTAGGGAACAAGGGAATGTACTGCATTATAGTAGGGTGAGGAGATGCACCTCGCACGAGTCTCAAAAGGCCTGGGTGTGCAGACAGCCTGCTTAGAAGTTCGGGCCAAAAATGAGGGTCGCGATGTAACTCTGCAAACTGGTGGAAAACAGGGGCCAGCAGAAGGATCAGGAGGAGGAGCAGGCGTGTGACCCGGAACATGAAATCTGGCGAAGGCTGAAGAAGCGCTGAAAGCTGGCCGCCTCCTCAGCAGGGTCCTGAACGAGCCATACCCAGACCCCCTAAAGGATCCAGAAATGGAACCCCCCCAATATGAACCCATTGCTACATTGGGGGTAACTAGGGGATTATTAGGCGGTTCCATTTTTTGGATCCTTGAGGGGGTCTAGGTAAGGACTTGCTGACACAAGTTGGCAGTACTCAGAGTAGTAGTCTCGACAAGATTCCACCCAGAAACACAATCTATGGTATAAGGTATCAGAAGTACAAAACTTTGGTGAGAACCATCCTTGGCATGCCCTCCAGAGGTTCTCAAAATGGTTCCTATGGAATCCTTGAGGGCAACCCTTTGAACCTCCTCATAGTCCGTATACATCCGTTCAATCCTAGCGTACCCCTTTTTTGAGAAATCCTATTATGCTTTATGACCCCGTAATATAATATGAATATATATATATAGATATAGATATATGTATAGATATGTCCCTTGGGTCCCTGTATGGCCATGTTGTGAGACACCAGAACATTCCACCGTCCAGGGGATGAGGAGGCAGCGCGGAAGCTCCTGGAGTCCAAAGCAAAGACTCAGGACTCTTACAGGGCTTTGGGTTCAGGGTTAATCAGGGTTTGGGGTTCTAGTAGGGTTTTAGGATGTTGGGGTGTTAAAGGTCTCAAAGGATGCTGGACAGGTATGCGACGCTGCATCTTCAGAAGGTGTCCCTTTGGGAAATTCCCCTTGCTGAGTGAAATTTTAGCTGCCAGACCTAGGGCCAGAGTGTTGCGCAGTGGCTACAGCTTCCCTAGGGACCCTCTTCTGGGCAACACTAGTTGTGCCAGGGAGGTCTGCGTGCTGCTGTACAGTCTTGAAAGTCTGAAAGCCTAAAGCCTAAACCCCTAAACCAGAAACCCCTAAACCCTGGCTTCCAAAGACCCGGCCCCTGCGCCGTAAGTCAGGCGCCCTCCTCAACTAAGAAATGAGGGCCTAGGCCTAGGGTTTAGGTTTTAAAGTTTTAAAACTCAAGGTGCGGTCCAATCTACGTAGATGTATGGTTAAAAGCCATCCTTCAGCCGATGTGTTTGCAAGGGGAGTTGGCCAAAATACCCCGAAAAGGCACCCCTGATTTCTGCTGGGAAACCTTGCACCTAACAACATTACCTCGAAAAGCGCTACACATAATTCCCTTTCTAACCTTATTGAAACCCCTGTAGACCCCTGATCCGCGAAATAACCACTGTGTAGCCCCTCCCCCCCCCCCCCAGACCCTAAACCCTAAACCTATATAACCGCATCATAGCCGTTTCTATTTTCTTTTCCATTATCCCCATACAACCCCTATATAACAAAATCCCTATAGTAGTTTCCATGTTCTTTTCCATTATCCCTCAATCCAAAGCCCTAGACACTAATCCTGAGATGCTTTGTCCAGGCAAGCCTCGACTCGTTGCGGGAAGGGCAGAAGAGCCGGGGGCCCATCTTATAATCCCATGAACTTCCTGGGGGTTGGTAAGGAACAAGGGACTATAACCCCCATTATTTTCCCATATTCCCTACTAACCCCCAGGAAGTAAAGAGTATGTAGGGATTTATGTGGCTGAGGTGTAAGGCTTTAGAGTTTACAGCTTTTTTTGAATTGGGCGCACCTTTTTCTGACTGTGAAAGCAATTATTTTGAGAAAGCGCAATTTGGTGAAATTGTCAAGGCCATGGAGCGTTTCCTGGGCTATGTAGTAAGACCATAATAGCTATAAGAAATCACCATATGACGGTTTTCCGGTCGCGGAAGGGCCTGTTTGAGGTCTACGCAAGGATTCCAGCCTTTCCTGTATGCCGCCCCGCACCTCGATTGGGAAGATGTACACTTCCCAAAACTAGCATTGAAACTCAGACAGACCCTGATTTAGAGGACTGTCCTCTTTGCCGGCCCCTGTAGTGCTTCCAGGTTAGTTAAACGGAGGGCAGTATCATATTGCAGGTTCGAGTACTCTTGGCCCTCAAGGGCAAGTACGAAAGGTTGGGACAAGTGCCAAGGTTGGGGGGGGTAGCTGAGCTCTTTCAAAAATTCCTGTAGTTTTATGACCTTTCTGTTTTCTGTTGCAGGCCTTGCTGCGGGTTTCAAGCATGTTGGCCTAAACCCCAGTAGCAATGCACGGGGCTTTTCTTTGAGAAGCCCATTCCAGACTCTATATGTTTCCCCTAGCTGCCCTAGCTCTGGTGCCTTTGCGTAAAGAAGTCGGACTTCAAGTCAACCTCAAGCCGTGAACTCCGGTCAAGCAAGTACGGAGCCCTTGCTGTGAGGAGTGGTGAGGTCGTACTGAAGGGAGAAGCTTTCGGGAGCATTTTTAGGTTTGCATCCCTAGAGGCCCTAGATCCTCAAACGCCTCATCCCAGGGCGGGAAGCGCAGCAATCAGAGCAGCTCGTGTCCTTGGAGGCCCAGGTGAAGGACCCGTGGTCAGAGTCACAGAGTCTGGAGTGGCTGAAAGAAGTAGTCGAGAAGGGCTTCCTGCAAGTTGTGACTCTTCACGCTTTTGACATGCTAGGACCTCTACGAGCGAGCAGCGCCTGGCCTGCAAGGGGGGACAGGTGCGTGCTTCCAAATCCGGTGGCTCATCTTGCGGCATGCCCCAAGACATCCAAAAATCCATTTTGGGGGGCAAACATCTGATTGTGCGCATGTGTGTGAGACGCGTAGGCACCCTGTGTAAAGATCTGATGGATGTCTAACTCATCAGTCTATGGCAGCATATTCAAATGAAAAGCAGTACTGTGCACGCCAAAACACTGAGCAGTGGCACCCGCTCCCAGGCCTCCACAAATTCAATTCCCTCAACCCAAAACATGAAGCTTAGTCTCCAGACTAAGTCCAACCCTGAACATGCCCAGACGTTGAACCCTGTAGAGCCTGCTTGCCAGACCTGGGACGCCATCCATAAACTGGGCACCTGATCCTTTGTTCTTGCACCTAAGCCCGGCTTACATACTATTGTGGTTTGGGCGATGCCCTGGTTAGCAGATGGTTTAGGCATGAATGCTCTTGCGCGCGCGTGCTCTTTGGGATGGACGTTCTTTTCTCTGGTGATCGCAGCTCGAAAACAGCAATGATGTTGGTATTTCCAAACCCACGCAGCGTGCGCACGCAGCCACCCAAAGAAGGGTAAATGAATGTAAATGAAGCCACACACAGTATTCTAAATGGTAGCAACAACCCGCAGCGCCAAGACCAGCGACAAAAAGGTTCATTCTTTTCCCATGCCGGGGTCAGCTGTTTCTGCAATGAAGCATGCGCCAGAGGCAGCCAGACAGGAACACATTTTTCATGTACAGAGTACAAGTGTCGTCATCATTCTCAACCTCTGTTCCAGGTATTCCTACTCCCCAAATGCAAGCTCAAATCCAAGTACTTGCAAGAGCAAGCAAATGCCGAAATCTTCGCAAAACTACGCGGCACAATTATCAACATGCCTTGCTCAACAGGCGCCCCCGAAAATCCTCTAGCGCCGCCTACATGAACTCCAGCTCAAGCGCTAGATACCCTATGCAGCCCAGGAGAAATCGCTGGCCGCAGGCAACGAGACAGATGCGCGCCGCTATCTCCAGGAGTCCTACCAGCGACCTACTAAACCTCCAGCCTCGCTCTCAACGTTGGGGAAAATGCATAAACGAGGAAAATGCATGGATTGAATGTAGAAGCTGAACGTCAGCATTAGCAGCGATAATGGCAGTTGCGGCGTGCGATGTGAAGTGCGCAATGGCAACGATTCCTCCACAAGAGCCGTTTCTTGGCACCGGTAGGGGGAAGAACAGGGCCCATTACAGCTTCGATTTCCTAGCGTGCGAGTAAGCCGCAACTACTTAATTTGCTTCCTGCAGGATGCGGCAAGGCTATGTTCGGGTTGTTTTTGATGAAGGTCAGATAAGTTGAGGGACTCTGTTTGCAGCAAGGTGATATCTTATGGTTATGGGTGCCCAAGGTGACAAGTTTAGGAAAAAATCGCATATGAACGATGTTGGTATGAAGGGTACAGCTACAGCTTGTGGAATTTCAGAGCTGCCCAACACCCCAGACCCCTATCATACTGAAGCAGTGCGACTCACAAAGCCAAAGCCATCTAGCAAGCACACTGAACCTCCTGTGATTTCCTTCCCCTGCCTGAAATGCATCTCAATCAGAGAGAGAGACGAGAGAGAGAGAGAGAGAGAGAGAGAGTGTGTGTGCGGGGCTCGGAGCTGTGCTCCGGCTCGCCTGCCAGGGGTGAGCGAAGCCCGAAGAAGAAGAAGAAGAGTGTGTGTGTGTACGTGTGTACATGTGTACTGTTGAGGCGTGGGAAGCGCATTGTCCCAAACGCTAGGAAGGCTGGCACCCAAAACCAATAAGTCCCAGACGCCTATGAACATGGAGCAGCCCCGACAGGAGAGGGAGCAAGCTCTGAAAAAGCTGGCAGATTTGAAGCAGACGCGGGAGACTTGAGCTCTTCCGTGCCCTGGTCTTGTAGGTGCAGGGCTTTGAGGTCAACCTGTGTGCAAGAATTCTCGATGAATGCGCGGGAGCGTGTCTTGTGTATACTGCAAACTGTAATCATGCCTTATACATCCTTATACCTTCAACACGGAGCCGTAAACCCCATGCAGCCCGAAGCAAACGCTTCATAGATGTTCAGACTGCATTTTAAAGACATGCACCTAGACCCTCGAGCTACCCCCTTCTCAGGCCTGTGTACCCAATATTAGGGACCCTACAACTCCAATTAACATTAACCCTACAACTCCAATTAAGGGTACATCACAAGGGCCTTGGGTCCTGGCTCCTCATATGAGGATCCATCGCCAAGTCATGATCAGAATAATTGTACTTGATGATGATTTTATAATGGTACTGAAGCCCAGAAGTGATCTTCTGGTTCAATTGGGACATGCTGCCCGATCCCTTTTCAATCCTTGTCTCGACAGCTTGTCCTTTTGGACTACACAGCTCAGACGTGGGGGTTTCTCGAAATTCAGAGATCCGTTCGCATTACAAGGGGATTCTAGAGATTCACACCAATCAGGGTTTTATAGGGGAAGTCTTGAGAAACACCCAGCTCGTTTCCATCCACTACAGCCACCTGCCCTGCAACAGTTGCGTCATGGTAAGTCTAGTGTAGGGTTTAGGGTTTCGGGTTGTTGCTGTGCCTGGCTGGAAATACGTAGTCCTTCTGGCGCAGTGTTCTCTGGTGTGGCTTACAATGTAGTTACTTATTGTTGCCAATGCTGGCACAGGCATCAGCATGCCACAACAAGAGGAACACTTGCAGCACAGGATACAGCTGGACCGCTCAGCGAAAATTGGCAATAGGTTACAAGAGTTGCAAGTTCAAAGCGGCAAATGTCAACCTACATGTTTATGTAGACATTCCAAGGAAGATATTCATGGAGAGGCATCCACATGTCGCCTACGACTCAAAGTTGAAAGGGACCAAGGTGTAAATCGACTCTGAGGTTTTGATTCTTCTGCATGTCCTGTCCAGACCTGGAACTGGTAACATGTTTCCTGTATTTGTCAAAACCAGTTCCAGTCCTTCTGGGAACAACAGTTGTAGGCTCAACATTGAGGTAGAGTTTCTAGAAAGGGGGCAGGCTACCCCCAAGTCCCAATTGTAGACGTCTCCTGGTAAGGAGTCATTAATCCCATCCCTTCCCCACAACACTGATGCCAGATACTTGTAAAAATGCATGCTACCAACATGTTACGGTTGAACAATGGGAAATGTTTCATCATGAAGGGCCGGGGTGGGCTTGAACGAGCAGATTGTCCAGATCGGGGCAGCTTGTTCAGACGCACTGCGTTATGCTCTTGGGATGACATGCTCCTATGCCATTCCCAAATTGTCACTGCTTGGGGTTCTCCATGTGATCTTGCCACTACTACGTGAACAGGCAAACTATTGTTCGCGGAAAACTGTCCGCGACTTCCTCATCCAGGAAGAATTCGCCTGTCAGCATGATCAGGTCATTTCTTTAGATACCAAGTTACTAGTAAAGATGCGCTCTAATTCTAGGGGTTGGGAGGGTTGAACATGCAGTCACTACCGGCTTCGAGGAAGAGCGGTAGGCACACGCGTCGAAGGATCTACATCAAGAGGTGGAACCTTCATAAGAAAAGTCACATCTCATGGATCCCCGCAGCATTTTGCTTCAGTACCACATAGGTTTGGACCCAGACTGCCCATTTAAAAGAGCGTGCCTTGGCTCAGTTAGGCTGAGAAGCTCCTGGGTCCTAGGATCCCAACGGATTCTGGCCGGATAATGGAAAAGAAAATGGAAACTACCATAGAATATTAGGGTTATATAGGGATAATGGAAAAGAAAATGGAAACTACTATAGAATATTGGGGTTATATAGGGATGATGGAAAAGAAAATGGAAACTACTATAGTGTATTGGGGATATATACGGATAATGGAAAAGAAAATGGAAACTACCATAGAATATTAGGGCCATATAGGGATAACGAAAAATGGAAACTACCATAGAATATTAGGGCTATATAGGGATAATGAAAAATGGAAACTACTATAGAATATTAGGGCTATATAGGGATAATGAAAAATGGAAACTACTATAGAATGTTAGGGTTATATAGGGATCATGGAAAAGACAATGGAAAGTACTGTAACAAAAAGTAGTCAAGGCCAAGAGCCTCTCGACAACCTTGGCTGCGGCATGTTCTTTTAAAAGCATAGTGTAGCTTGCTAACTGCTCTGTATCTAGATGGAGGCTCGAAGCTTGCAACACGCTATGTGTAACCGCATGGGGAGCCAGTACCAAGCACAGAGCTTCAGAGTAAAGCTTAACTCGCTGCTCACATTGGGCATTCTGCAAGACGGCTGCTCAGCCTTCTCAACATATCAATATTCCTGTTGGTGAGTTGGAGTGTGTTGACTGCTTGAAGATTGGACCTTGTAGTTGGTCGACAATCTTCTCAAGACTCAGGTCAAACCCAAAGCGAAATCTCTGTACTACCCTGGAAGATGCTCCGTATTTATCGCCTGAGGAAATTCTTCTGAACGCCTCACGTATCCCTGAAATTTCTCCATTCCAGGCATCATGCCTTCCACTCGTCAGCGCAATACTGCCGCTCGTCCTGCACATGCTCCATAGCAGTCCATGGGATGTTGCGTTGTGTGCAGGGACTTGGCCAGTGCTTACCGTAACCCCAGATTCGTCTTATCAGGCTCATCTTCTCACAGAGGAAGTCAGGCAGGACAGATATTCATGTGCAAAATCTGCTTTCCCAAGAGCGGGGCCACAGCGTATGTTAAACTTTTGTGTAAATTTCCGTGAACATGGAATAGTTTCCCCAAATGGGGGGACCCAGATATAGACCCCAAAATACTATAATCCTTATTATGGGGACCCCCAAAATGTGTACCCCCTAATTTTGGGCATTTCCCATATGTCCTCATATCAGCCTTGCCATGCTTTCTGTGGGTCCCACTAGCTTCTCGCGGTTTAGGGTTTAGGGTTTAGGGCTTAGGGTTTAGGGTTTAGGGTTTAGGGCTGCATGTAATCAACTTCGGATTCCAAGAAGCTCCCCTGGTTACATAGGGGTTCTATAGGGGTAATATTGGGGTTATCTAGGGATAATGGAAGAGAAAATGGAAACTACTATGGAATGTTGGGGTTGTATAGGGATAATGGAAAAGAAAATGGAAACTACTATAGTATATTGGGGTTATATAGGGGCAATGCAAAAGAAATGGAAACTACTAAGGCACTAAGGGATTTATAGGACCAATGTTGACAGGGCACTCTTATCTCCGTCTCTACGTACCGCTGAAACCTGAGCTCCGTGTTAGTCTAAACCCTAAACCATTCAGTTCTGTTGTTGAATGAAGCGTTTCAAGCCAAGACCTTCCAGAGGCAAACGCAACACCCCGCAGTTTCCCCCCTCCCCAAAATACCCGTATGGGCCACTTCTAAAAAGAGAGTAGTCTTCTCCCTTGACCCTTGTTGGGCTTCCGTCTTAGCTTGGGGGAAGGTAAACTTGTGCCAGGCTCCAGGCCTGGAACTCCAAGCATGAAAAAGTCCAAATTTCAAACATCTCAGGCCACGAAGGGTCATTGTTGGTTATAGTATTACATCACAAGTCAGATTGTAATGAAAGGTATGAAAGTGCTCGTTATGTATGCTCATACCTATCAGACAGGCAACTCAGGGATGCCATCCCACAAATTCGAAACCCTTATATTACCCCAGATTTCATGTTTATGTTCTTTTCCATTTGATTCTCCATTATAGGGGTATACTATGCCATTATAAGCATTATTACTGTTATTACATTTTGCACAGAAAACGAACCTGCTGCTGAGGTCCTGGCCACAGCGGCAACCGTGTCGGCCGGCGCGCTGACATTTGCAGCTGAGCAGCCTTCATAGGAGTTAGAGTTTTAACTACTTAAGGAATATATAGGGGAGACTTGGAGTTTAGACTACGGCTCATAAGTCCATACGGGCGCCTCCCCCAAAAAGGGTCGTGGTTTGGGTTGCGTGTCTGGCAGGGGTACCTCAGTTGTTCGAAATATCCATCAAGAGACATGACAAAAGAGTGATACCAGAGTGTTTTTCTGCAAGGTTGCATATGCGTGGGGATTGTCATTCTGAACGGGACGAAACCTAAACCAACAGACACCCGGCATAATTGAAGAGGTCATTCTGGCGAAGGCCGGGGCCCTTCCAATTGATGTTTCCATGGCAGTATCAACCTTAAACAAAAGCCATAAAGAACCTCTAAATTTAGTATGTTTGCCTAGGCTTCAATACGGCTTGTTTGATAAACAGCTCCAGAGATTTGGTCAGACTTTGAGAGGAGGCTGAATAGCATTATTTACAGCCCACATGCCGTCAATTCTTCAGCTTGAGAAGCGTGATCAGATGCTTGACGTCTAGAAATTTGCCCGACATGTTCACATTCAAGAGTTTGTACGGTTTCGGGGTGCGTACCCTTGCAGCGCATTAGACTCTGGAGCCCTCCCCCTTCCCCTTAGGGCGGAGCAAGCCCAGAAACAGATTGGATCTATCTGTACCTTTTTTGGAAAGCTTGGAGACCCCTTGGACAAACCCACACAACCTTGAGCGCATTCCTCCAAAACCCTGTAGTTCATAGCAAAAGACAGAGGTTACACATGCCCATGCCATAGATTCACAGGAGAGTCTGAAAATGTGTGAGCCTGAAACTAGTTCACAATAGCAAGATTTCGAAATGCATGCACCTCCTTCCAACAGTTTCCCGAAGCTTTGCATGTTTCATTGCCAAACCCGAATGTTCTGACTTAACACACGCAGAGGTTTCCTTAGTCCAGTACCAGCTTCTAGAAAAAACGTCAGGTTCCTATCTTGGTATGAGTCCTTAGATGAGATTTCCTTTGGTTGGCAACAGAAAGTTGAGTGGACCCATGCAGAATCAGAACAATACTCCATGAAGCCCTTCTACTCCGCATGTAACCTTTGTATTTACACTTGGCCCGTGTATCAGAGCCTCCTAAAGTAGCCGTATCGAACCCTTTGGGAAACGCCTCAAGTAGCCTTGCAACTTGGGCAAACTAGCCTTCCCCCAGGCCGTAACCCTCTGCCAATGCTGAAACTTGAGCTTTGTGTTCCAATCCCGAAGCCCTAAACCCCCCAACAAAACTACAACACCCATACACCTAGCCCTGTAACCATCCGAAAGCTCCCCCATTGCTGATGCTCTCAGGTGGCGCCTCCCAGCACCCCCAGCGCGGCGCGCATCGAACCAGGTGACGCCTCCTCGAAGTCTATCTCCTTGAGTTTGGGGCCGAGGGTTTGGGGTTTCGTGCTGAGGGTTTGGGGCTGAGAGTTTGGGAGTTTGGGGTGGTTTTGGGATGGTTTGGGGCTTGGGGTTGCTCCTCAATCGTTGAGGGCTGAGGGTTCAGCTCATCTAGCAAGAGATTAAACACACAGGGGTTCAATTGAGGTTGTAATTGGGAGATGCTGGGGTTCAGGAATAGGGTGATGGAATTCGAGGTCTCTGCAAGTTGTTGGTGATGCTTCAGGGCTCGAGTTGGAGATCCCTACCATACGAAACACGAAAAACGGCACACTGTGATTTCCATTCTGGGCGTACTTCGCCCTTGCAAACCTGTATGCAAAGTTTTGGCCAATGGCCAACTTTCTTCTCGGCTTCCAACCTAAAGTTCGTACAGCTTATTTTGTGCAGAGGTCTCGGGCATGACAGCCAACAACGTCTAGGTTCAGGAGATGCCTTCAAGTCACGATTCGGCCCTGCATTTGCAACGTTTGGGATTGATTGAAGGCTGATGGTTTTCAAGGGTGGAAACGTACTTGGAGCCGTGATGTGCGGATATGATTGCTCAGATCACAACTCAACCCTTTAGAGGGATCCCGATATGCTGGTGCCTGAACAGACCTACCATAATTTGTTGAGGGTGATCCCGAACAAGCTTCATGTATCCCTTCTTGCCAGATGCCCATACGACCTACATGTAGTTCATTGGCCATATATCCTCCATTAAGGAAACCCAGTAGACCTGCCCAAGACCTCCACAAAGGCTCCAAAAGTTCTCTTACGTGCTGGAACCCCCTAATTGCATGGAGTCCCAAAGGGCTTCCGGGCTTCCTAAAGCCGGATTGGTGCTCTAACACTTAAGCTGAGCAACATTATGAGTAAGTCATATTGTTTACTATAAGTTAGCTTGTATTCCTGAAAAGCAACCCAGAAAAATCCTCACTTGCCCCCACCTTGCAAGGCGTTGCCACCGGCTATGCGGCCGCTTCCCAGCCCCAGAGCTCTGCGGGCGCGGCCACTGTGGCTTGGCCATTACTGGGCAGGACAGGCCTAAATAACCAATAAAAAACCCAGATTAGGGTCCCAGGTTTGGACATACTTTTGGTAGAGAGTATGTATAAGGTAGCTGAATGGCACAGAGTCCAATGGCAGATCAGATGAAGATGAATAATTGAAAAGTGAAATTGGAACTTGGAACCAGGGATATAAAGGGGTTTGTAAGGGTTATGTGTGGTAGAGTAGAGTGAGCTTCGGAAACCCTGCAGCATTGTGCCGGGTTCGGCATTAACATGTCTCAAGGACGCTATAGGGACAAAGGGGTAGGTCCGGATAGTTGGGGTTGCTTTTGGACGGATCATGAAGGGAGGCCATATGCTTTGTTACATGGGTAGTGGGCATAGCCAAGTGCCCGAACCATAGAGTGGGGATAATGTTAGGTCATCACGAAGTGAAACTTAAGGATGCGCAGCTGACCTTCCATCAACGGGGCGCTACAGAGACAATCCTTTTTCTAAGAACGAGCTACCAGTACATGGGATGTCATGTTAGTGTGGTGCAAGTAGAAGGCAAGTGATGACCCAGGTGGGTGCGGCGATGCTGGCGGCGGGATGCGCTGCGCGCGTGACGACCAAGGGCAAGGTAGGTGAAGGGTTGACGGGTTTGGTTCAGGGTTAGAGGCTTGGGGTCGAGCCTACGTACGCTTTGAAGGTTTGCTGTTGAGGTAAGGGCTCTTAGGTTTTGGATGTTCTGACGTAAGGCATAATTTGCGCAGGTTTGGGACCTACAGCAGCTTCGATTTTCCAAGCATGCTAGGCCCATTCTCAACCTGTGACGTCTCCAATGTAGATGTATGCCATGGAAAGGAGCCCACGTGTTGCCGTCAGCATGGCATTTGAAAAGAAGGATACCCTTATCTTTTGAGTTATTCATGCATGCAGAGGCTATGTTTAAAAAGACGTATTACAAAGCCCGAGGGCCTCTTCAGCCAGCGCGCTAAGACTGAAGTTGAAAATCCTGCATGGTCCCAGGCACCCTGAGCCAGAGAGTTATGGTAGTCGAACACTTAGTAAGGTCGCGCAGAAATGCGTCATCAACAATCTGCCCTAGTCAAAGCTTTGCAGGCTGAATTCTTCCGAAGGTTTAGGCTTTCGCTTACTTACTGGTGGCTAGTGGGGACTAAGGGAAATTATTATACAGGGATTTATAAGGGAGTATATTCCCATATTCGCCTACTAAGAACTTACTAAGAACCAGTAAGTTCAGGGGCCAAGCTGTGGCGGCAAATTTGCTGTTCTCTTCAAGACTCGATTGCCGCACACAGCTTGACCAATTTTTACAAGTAGCATGCATTTGTACTACTTACTACCTGTAAAGTTACTACCAGTTCCCCCCACTGTCTTCTGGACACGTCGCCATCCGAGTGCTTACAGGTAGTTAGCCATGAGACTACATTCAATCTGCGGAAAAGTTCCTGAAGCCAGAAACCCTCAGCCAGTAATACATGATACCATGAACCATTAACTTCCGCAGGGCCAGAGGAAGGCCGTGAAGGTGGCAGCAGTGAGCACTGACACTGAGGCAGCACATTGCACTTAATCCTTTTCGTGGCTGGAGTTTTCAAGTTGCAAGCTGGTCATTTGTGCTAGTCACATCTGACTAGGTGTGTGAAAGCAAGCTGTAGATGGCGGTATGCTTGAGAGCATTATCAGCAGCAGAGGACGCGCAGGAGCCGCAAGCAGGAGGAGGAGGAGGAGTCGCGTCTTTCTCATCCGTGTTGTCCTTGTCATCACAGTCGTGATCATCCTTTGCCTCCCATCATCAATCATACTAGTCATATTGTTCTTAACATTTGCCGTTAGAAGCTGTCGCGGTGTAGCAGCAGCAGGAGGAGGAGTAGTAGCAAGTTGTACTAGTAGTCGTAGGAGCAGCAGCAGTAGGAGGAGTAGTCGTAGTATTCTTGTTCATTAACAGCAGTGGCAGCAGCAGCAGCAGCAGCAGCAGGAGAAGTAGGAGGAGGAGGAGGTCCCGGGCAGAAAAAAACTTGAGAAGTATATCATATTGGTAGGGCTACTGATCAAGATTGCCCTCACAAAGATAAAAATGATGGCAACTGTTTTACCTGCCGCATGCCTTTCAGTAATTGCCCAACTGTCAATGTTAAAGACATGTTGAAATAATCGCCATGGTACCGCAAAACCTATGATCTCAATCATCGGAGTACATCGGAGTACAGCGCATTACAATTAGTACTCACGACAGCAACACCGTACGCAGCACAACAGAATGTCCATTATCTCCAGTATGATTGCAGGTAGCAATCTCGCTCCGAACACTGCCAAAGACAAGTCCTCACGGTTCATATGCATCAAGCCTGACGTCGACATTGGACCTTGCAAGCCGAGAAGTTGCCTAGCCAAGCAACTGCGTACGATGAAATATTGTGAACCCTCGTTTTTGACACGTTCACCCTGTCCAGAATTGAGGGGTTACAAGATTTTGCTGGAATCAAACTCCCGGCCAACATCTTCAGCACGGGAACAATGCCCGTGTCGCATTCGGTTTGGGGGATGGGTGCGCCTACTAGTAGTAGTAGTTGTTGTTGTAGTAATGGCAGCAGTAGCAGCAAAAAATAACAGCAGCGGCAGCAGCAACAGCAACAGCGCCAGCAGCAACAGCAACAACAACGACAATCACTATAAGCAGCAGGAGGAGGAGGAGAAGCTGTAGCAGTAACAGTAGCGGTAGAAGTGGCCATAGCAGCGGACACCGTCGCCTGATTGTCGGCGTAGTAGTGTGGCAGTGTTGCATGATTACTGTTGTTGTTATTTTTAGTAGTGGTGCTGGTGCTGGTGCTGCCGGTGCTGCCGCTGCTGCTGCTGCCGC